TACAAATACTCTTTCTTCTACTATTCACAAAATTGAATTAGATTAACCAGAGAATCCAAAGAAAAGAACCAACAGAAGAGAGAAAGAGATGTATAATTATTAAGCAATTATGGAGTAGGGTGGTGGGAGGGATACTGGGAACTTTGGTAGTGGAGAATGGGCACTGGTGGAGGGATGGGTACTCAATCATTGTATGACTGAAATGTAAGCACAAAAGTTTGTAAGTCTGTGACTGTACCTTACGGTGGTTCATTAAAAAATAAAAAATATTTTAAAAACTTTAAGAAATGTCAGATAGAATAATCAGAATATAAATCAGTAAAAGTCTATTTGTGATTGCTATATGATTTTAACATATGTAAATAAGGAAAATTAAACTCTTTAATGCAATATAAAAAACAATTATGTAGGATAATAAATCCCATGATATGTCATCTATATCTGGAGACCCAGAAAAGCTGGGGGTTATACTGACTCCCAGTCCCAAGTCCCCTCCTCTACAAGTCTACCCATCAGGAGCCTCAGTCTGAGGGCAGAAGAAAACCAAAGCCCCAGTCCCAGCAGTAAGACCGAGAGAACAAATTCTCCCTTACTCCACAGTTTCCTCCTATAAAGACCCTCAAAGGGTTCAAGGCCACCCACACTGGAAAGCATGGCCTACTTTATGAAGCTATTGATCCAAGAGCTAATATCTTCTGGAAACATTTTCACAGAACAAACGAAAAGTAATGCTAACCAAATGTCTGGGCATCCCAATATCTGGTCACCCTGGACTGGAGAGACAGTACAGGGGCTAAGGCACTCGCCTTGCATGATTCCAGCCCCAGCTCAATCCCTGGCATTATGCTTGGTCCCCTGAACACAGAGGGAGGAACAACTCTGAGCACAGAGCCAGGAATAAGCCTTGACCTTGAGCACTGTTTTGGTTTGCTCACTGCCCCAAAACTAACTATGAAGCATTATATGGGAATTTTTAAACGAGAATCTGAGATTCCATGGCTTAAATAAGTTGCCAAGGATTGCAGGGATGGCGAGTATTGGTCCAAGGTAAAACTATACATGTCTTTTCAGTACCCAATGGACCATGTTTCTGCTGCTAAACCAGCTGTTCTCTGTAGAGGGGATTTTGCACTCCAGGACCCGGCAATGCCAGGAACATTTTGGGTTGTCACGACGGAGAGGGCTGGGGACTGCCACTAACATCTAAACATTTGAAGTAAGGAGTGAACAACACCTGCCGCTCAGAACCAAGAACCCAGAACACCAAAGTGTGCAGAGTCCCAAGTAAAACAAGCAAGGAAACTTTGCGTTAAATATTATTTTATATTTTTTACCTTTTTCCAAACAGTAGAATAGTGATAATAAGTTGATCTAAAATATAAATGACTACGGTTTCTTATATTTAACACTGGTAGGATGAATGTCCATCCTAGAAGACAAACCTAGAAGGGAAACTTCACTCCTCAATAACTGTCTGCTATTACCATTCGCTAGAATAAAATAAATTTCAGTTACAATTAGCAGTATGAGAAATAGGGGCTGGAGAGATAGCACAGCGGGTAGGGTGTTCGCCTTACAAGCGGCCAACATGGCCGACCCGAGTTCGATTCCTCCGCCCCTCTCGGAGAGCCCGGCAAGCTACCGAGAGTATTCGATATGCCAGACACAGTAACAACAAAGTCTCCAATGGAGACGTTACTGGGCCCGCTCGAGCAAATCGACGATCAACGGGAGGGCCTTTACCTTTACCTTTACCTTTATCCCAAATGGTCCTCGGAGCCCTCACAGGAGTGACCCCTGAGCACAGAGGCAGGAGGAAATGATGAGCTTTCATAACATCAAATACCATACCTTGAGGTTATTTTATTTGCTATGATAAAATCATAGATTGCTTTCTAAGCAGTGTTTGTGGGCCTCTAGAACTACACTCATGATGATGTTTTGGGACCTTGTAGTTGCTGGAGATTGAGCTGGAGATCGGCCGGGGTCAGTCACATTCAGGGCCTGCACCATAACCCCCGGGCTGTCCATTCTCTTCAGTCTTCATTACTTAGGACAACTCTCTAGGGGCGGTGGGTGTCTCATGGTGCTGGAGTCAGGCACTGTGTGCCGGAGCCCGTGGTCCCTGAGCGTGCCAGGAGCCGCCCCGAAATAGTGGGCTGGGAGCAGGCTCAGAGCGGTGGCTGGATGTGACCCAAAAGCCAAAAGGAGAAAAGAAAACTTCACTGAAAAAGGAGAAGTGAATTTTGCAGCTCTCTTGCCCAGTTAAGGACAACGTTCGTGCCAGAATCTAGCTCTCCTGATAATTTAATGTTTTTTGTTTTCTTTTACTCTAAGACCTTTTCCCATATAAATGACAAATTAGAAGAAAGCAAATAGAGAGTTTTATTCACAAGAGTTCTTTTTTTTTTTTTAAGTAGGACACCATAAAGAAGGAACCACTAAGGTTCAAGCACAGTTCTCCTTTCGTTCTTTTGAGGGGCTGGGGTGAGGCCATACCCAGGGGTGTTCAGGGCCTTACCCCTGTGCCTGAGCTCAAACATCCCTCCTGGGGGGCTCAGGGGACCAGAGGTTCAACCAGGGATCAAACCAGGTTCAACCACAAGCAAGGCAAGCGTTTTATGTCACTGTACTATCTCTTGATCCCCAACTCCCCTCCTTAGTAACCTAAACCATTTGTAACACTTTCTTGGCCTCTTTCTCTGCATGGCATGAAGTTGTTGCAAAAATCAAATAAGAAAACAATAGGCCATCTGTAAATCTGTTTGGAAAACCCTAGAGACTTTGGTGATACAAACTTCCAGCCTCTTATACACCATTGCCAGTTGTAAATAACGGTTATTTAAAGATTCAAATTATATAAACACACAATTCAGCCTGAGTCCTCGGAGTTTTTACTTAAGTGATATGTACTCATTTTTCTCTGAGGGACGGCTTAGAGCAATTATAATTAAGCCTCCAAGCTGAGTACATGTTATTTTCATTAAAACTGGGAATTGAGGGGCCGGGGTGTTGACTCAGCAATAGAGGATCCCTTGAATTCGAGGATGTGGATTCAATCCACGCGCTGCAAAAAAAAAGAAAAAAGAAATACTGGGGAACATGAATGGTCATAAAAGGTTAGACACTTATTTTCCCTGCATTCAGTCCCAAATCAACCTAACGTTCATCCTTCTCCTTCCGGAGCACGAACTCCTGGTGCAAGTTTAAATGGTTAGATTGGGAAAAGAATTTTCTTATTATTCTGTTATACTTTTATTATTCCTCGGAAGATGAGGAAGTGCCGAAAACTGCTTTTCTTCAGCAAAAACTTCATTTTAAACATTGGTTTATATCATCACGTAGTTACAAATCAATATCTATGTACCTAATGTTGCTACCAGAATTCCACTTTCCTTTCGTTTACCACTCTGTTAATCCCTTTTATTCAAATTCCCCCAGGAGTTCTTCTGACATGCAAAGCCTCAAAAAATTCTGTTTCCAGGAAGCTTCTGGAAGCTTTCACGAACTCCATGAAAATGAAAAAGAAACCCCAGGCAGAAAAACCGCAGGGATCTAGGAAGCAGAAGCTCAAACTCAGGAGCACAGGAGCTGGGTGGTGAGGGCAGAATGATCTCTGAGGGAAGGCAGTGCAGCCAAGTGGGTTTCCAGTCAAGTGGAGCAAAGACACTGGCAGGGGTGTCCCGTGGAGGAAAGAGGGCTCTGTGCTTACAGCCTCATTGTTTTGCTACTGTGTTAGAAAGTAGTGCTACCATCTTAGAAAAAAAAATGTTGGAGAATTTGAAAAGAATAAATGATGAAAAGAAAAAATAAATAAATGGAAAAGTGATGGGTGAAATGCTTCAAGAGAAACTGCAACATTCTTTGACTCTCTTGCTCTCTCTCTTCCTCCCTCTCCTCTTCTCTCTTCTTCTCTTCTTCTCTTCTCTCTTCCTCCCTCTCTCTTCTCTCTTCTCTCCTCTTCTCTCTTCTTCTCTTCTCTCCTCTCTCCCCTCTTTCCTCTCCCCTCTTCTCTCTCTGTCTCTCTGTCTCTGTCTCTCTCTGTCTCTCTCTGTCTCTCTCTGTCTCTCTCTGTCTCTCTCTCTGTCTCTCTCTCTTTCTCTCTCTCTCTCTCTCTCTCTCTCTCTCTCTCTCTCTCTCTCTCTCTCTCTCTCTCTCTCTCTCTCTCCCAAGCTGTGGAGTGCAACCCCTAGATCTCACAGATGCAAGAAGGCAAGTCGTCTGCTTCTGTTCCTCAAACCTGCATGTTTCTGTGGCAGCCTCAAGTTCGGAATTTGAAAGCCTATAAATTCTAGTTTAAAATACAGGGGCTGGAGTGATAGCACAACGGGTAGGGCGTTTGCCTTGTATGCAGCAGACTCGGGTTCAATTCTCAGCATCCCATATGGTTCCCCGAGCACCTTCAGGAGTAATTCCTGAATGCAGAGCCAGGAGTAACCCCTGAGCATCGCTGGGTGTGACCCAAAAAGCAAAAACTAAATAAATTAAATTGAATATTTAAAAAACTTACATAGTGCTTACCAGGCCAAAGACGCCCGCAGAACCACCCTTGATCTGGCACCAACTCGCACTAGACGGCAGACAGCAAATCTCTAGTCGCAGACACGCTGCTCTTATGAGCAATATTTTGTTTCCTAACATTTCCTTTGACTGTATGGATTTATTCCCGTCAAAAAGGGAAAGGCCAAAAAGGTTCGGTTTGATTTGTTTTCTATCCGAATCCAATACATCACATGTACTTAATGATTTTTCTCTTCACTGCGGACACTCACAAATCTTAATACCCAAGCTCCTTACAGACCGTCCATAAAAGGAAGCACAGTCATCACCAGAGGTTGGCTCTGCCCGGCAGAGCTGGGCCAAAGCTCAAGACGCCCTCGCCGCTGAGGGAAAGCTGCCATCTGGTCCCCCTTTCCACAGATGAGTCCTCACCGGCCCGCACAATGTCTGCTTTAAGGAGACCCTCCTCTTAATCTGCTCGTTTTCTTCTTGGTTCACAGGCTGAACAGCATGAAGACGCTGTGGCTTTTCCTCTCCGTCTTGGGAGCTGCGGCCGCAGTCCCGGTAGGTACTAGCCTGTTTTTGTTTTGTTTGTTTTGCTTTTTTTAGGCCAGTGATGCTTTGAGCTCAGAAATCACTCCTGATGGTTCCCCAGGTGACCATATGAGATTCTGGGGATCGAACCCAGGTCAGCAATGTGCAAGCCAAACACCCTCCCCGTTGTACTCTCTCCCAGGCCCGGTAGATATTGTTGCTTGGATGATTACAGCTCTCCCGTTTCCAGGCATTTAATATTCCACTAATGGAATATTAAATGCCTGGAAAAAATCATCAACAACTTTCGATGGTCAATACTATAGAAATCCTCCACTTAGAGCAAGTGTTATTCTACAGAAGTTCACAAGTCCTTTTTTGTTGGGGGGTGTGTGTGTGTGTGTGTGTGTGTGTGTGTGTGTATCGTTTATTTATTTATTTATTTATTTGCTTACTTATTTATTTATTTTGCTCAAGCAGGGAGTAAATGGCTAGAAATTTTGAAATATTGTTTGTTTCTTAGGGTTTTTTTTTTTTCGGTGCCAAAACATGGAGGTAAAAATTCAAGATCTCTTACCTTCGGAAAAAATATTTTAGAAGCATCACGTTCTATAAGATGCAATAAAAAGAGCCTTAGGTGTTGAATATCAATTCATCCTCCATGGACTATGTCAAGTACCAAGAGATAGGGTGAAATAAAGCTTCCTACGGAAGAGCATCATGTTCGCGGATAGAACTAACAGAGGTCTTGGGAGCAAACTGGACACCGTCCAATAGTTTTCTTCAGTATGCTGGCTGAGAACTCCTGAGTCTGTAATAAGAGGGGAAGCAGATTGGCTCCCAACCAGTCTGCAGGGGGTTGTTCCAACAACCCTGCTGAAAGCAGACAGGACTAGCTTATGCTTTTCCTTACAGTCGAATATACCAGCCAGTGCTTCACACAGCAATAAATCATCACCAGGAAGGTCACTTCAGACTGCGACAGCAGTTTCCAAATGACCTACAAGATAATCGCTGAATAGCATCCCATTGTGTGGGCTACATCTTCTCTCTCCAATTACCTGAGGGAGAGGGGGGTGTTTGTTTATTGTGGAGAAGGTCTTGAGCCACACCCAGTGGTTTTCAGGGCTTACTCGTTGCTCTGTGCTCAAGAATCACTCGTGGAGGGGTTCTGGGCCACATACAGAGCCAAGACTCAAACCTGGCTCAGCTGCATGCAAGAGAAGTCCCTACTCACACAAGGGAAGTACCCACTGGACTATCTCTCCAGCCTCCCTTCCAATTATCTGTCAATGGATACTTGGCTGTTTCCAATTCCTGGTTGCCATTATTTTCTCCGTGTTGTGGGAACTGGAGGTTTATGATACAACTGTCAGCATGTATAATTTCTACTTTCATCTCCCAACTCAATTTTTAATGAGGTAAGCTCCCTACCTCTTTAGCTGCACAAAGCAACTTATTATCTCGTGTCCCTTCCTCTCAAGGCCATTTTGAAACTTTTGCTCTCGTTTAGAGAACATGGTTTCTTTCATGTTAGTCTTGGTGGTCTCCATGTACATTACGGCAGTGTCACCACCCCAAAAATGCTATAACTCTGCACCTTGGATCGCCTGAGAGTCTGTCCTTGTTTTCTGCATAGCCAGTTTGGTCAGTCAGTTCAATTGCCACACTGATACAACTCCCAAACCAAGCAGTTGTTAGAAAATGGAATTTGTGATACCTAATCTCGGCTGAGACCTCCAGGGTCATCTCAGCCAAGTTCCCGGCCTTCCAAAGCTCCGCAGAAACACTTACACCCCAATAGCTGGAATGCCCAGTGAAATATTCTGAATTTTCTGGAGCGACATTTCCAAACTCTACAACACTAACGCTAAACTCAACTAACAAAAACATTAACACAGAAGGCTCAACTAGCAACACCAGATAAGGACTTAGTGTCCCCAGGGTGAGATCCAATAATTTCACAAATTTCCTTTTACTGAAGTATATTTTGATCATTCTATTAGCTGTTTAGTGGTGATAAACAATATAAAATAAATGCTTGTGGGCCTGCAATGGGGGCAGGTTCAGGGAGTGTTTGGAAAAATGAAGACAACGGTGGAGGGAAGGTGACAATGGTAGTGGGATTGGTGCTGGAATATTAAATGCCTGGAACAAATCATCATGGACAACATTGTCAATCTAGTGTGTAAATAAAGTGGGGGGGGGGAGAAAACAAGACAGAACGGAAGTAGGACCTATGAGCACCACCAAGAATCCTATTTAGGGGCTGGAGAGATAGCACAGCCAGTAGGGCATTTGTCTTGCACGTGGCCAACCCAGGTTCGATTCCTAGCAACCCCTGAGCACTGCCAGGAGTAATTCCTGAGTACAGAGCCAGGAGTAACCCCTGTGCATCGCCAGTTGTGACCCAAAAAGAAAAAAAAAAGAATCCTATTTAAGTAGTGGGGTGCTCCGAGGACGTTACGGCATTCCACTGAAGTGAGAGATTAAGGGCAGCACTTCTGCCCAGACGGGGACTCCCACGGAAGCCTTGCTTTCATCTGAAATGCGTTTCGTCCTGGCAGCTACTGTGGCTGTGAAACAGGCTTCAAAGTCGCCTTTGAAGCCAGTGTTTAGTCAACACACCTGCCCGGGTCGCTGCTTCCTTTCAAGGAATATTTATTATTTACAAAAGTAAATAGAATTTACTAATTTTAAATCTTGTGATTATTTCTCTCCTGCCCAAATCCTCCCCGAAGTTCGGGATGAGGAAATTCCACACAGATTTCTGAGGTGTTATTATAAATAGAGACTCAGTCATGATATCAAGCAGGAATTTCAGTTTCGAAAACTCTCTGGAAGGAGACGGGTGGCTGTGTTTTCCTTCCATGGTGTCCCTTGCCGGCAACTTGTGGAACTGCCCACCTCTTTTCTTTTTTTTTTTTTTGAACTTAGGACTTTCATTTATAATGATATCACAATGTAGATTCAACAATTGTAACAAATTCCACTTTGACAGCAGATGACAATAAATGAAAAGACTATACATTTGGGGGTGGAAATGAGAAAAATAAAAAAAAAAAACCTTCATTTTTCTGTGAAAACTGCTCTAAATAACAAAGTTTCTAAAATATTTCATGCAAATTAGTCAATTAACAATTTGACAAAGATTCTAAACAGAATTTTCTTCCATGAACACATTCAAATGGCTAATATGCACATTAAAATGTTCTCAGCAAGTGGCCAGAGATAGAGCATAGAGGACAGGCCTCACATGTGGCCAGCCCTGGGCCATTCCTTCACACCATACAAACCTCTTTTCTTTATCCTCTTTTGGAACTTTTTTTCACATCCAGTTATTCCCCTAAGTGGAAAATGGTGAGAAGCAAGAGAGCAAAACACATCTAAATTCTGCACTCGATGATTTTCTTTATACTTAAAATCAGCATCACAGGGGCTGGAGCAATAGCACAGCTGGTAGGGCATTTGCCTTGCACACGGCCAACCGGGTTCGATTCCCAGCATCCCATATGGTCCCCTGAGCAACACCAGGAGTAATTCCTGAGTGCAGAACCAGGAGTAACCCCTGAGCAACACCGGTGTGACCCAAAAAGGAAAAATTAAAAAAAAAATCAGCATCACAGGACCTGACACGCAGAGACAATACCCTCCAAATCCATCTAGAGTTACAGCTGAGTGTCCTGCATCTGACCAGCCCATCAGCTCTTTAATGCTCATTCATGGTGAATATCTTCAAAAATAATATGTGGTTATTACTACCACTGTAACCACACTTCCACTAAAATTTACGTGAAAATAGAAAAATCCTACAAATACACAATTTAGTAAAAGTGAGAAGAGGAAAATTAAGAAAATTTTTTTAAAAATCTAAATAGGTTAATGTAAAAGTTTTTAAGTGTGTTTTATCCTTAAAAGGGAATGCTGAACTTATGTTTAAAAATACTGTTATAGATAATACATAAATGTGTGCATATATAAGTGAACAGTCATAATAAAAATTTCTAGAGAATATCTTTTCATCAAATCTTTCTTCATGTGAATGCAGTATATTCCCATTATTTCAAAATGACAATATAAAAGTACCTAGAATTTTAACCATAATGCCTATACATGAATAACACAAACCAGCTTTGTTTCTGTTTTTTAGACAAGGATCCTACCTGATGATTTCAAGCCAACTGCTGATTCCTCGAGTTCGGCCCCACAGGCTGAAATCTTGGTAACCCCTTCCAGCACTGACATTCCCATTTTAAACAGTGAAGATGAAGAAAATGAAAAGGAAACTTCAGTGTCCTTAGAAGACCATCTTAAGCATAAGGTAGCATGGTCATACCAATATTTGTTAGTTCTCCAAAGCATGGTCAAAGAAATGACCAAGTTTCAACTTGGTCTTCAAAAAAAACTAAGTTTCATATAATAATTATACAACTGCCTCCAATCATAGAATTATGATAATTAATTAGTTTTACTTCTATAATAGTTTCACTGTTTCACAAGTCCAAATTTAAGTTAAACTTGCAGCTATAAGACAGGAAGAATATCATATATAGAGAAAAAGAACAAATGGATATTAAATGTTGAGTTGTGAATTACAAATATTATATAGAAATACTGCATAGTTTGTTTCAAAACTAACATTTTTTTTCTTTTATGGGTGAAAAAAATCTTCAATATTAAAGTCAAAGGAGGAAAGTGACAACCCAGAAGACCAGGACCCTAGCCACAGCCCGGAGCTGGAATCAAAGGTTCTGCAGGAAAACGACGGTGACTTTGGTGAGAATTTGGAGGATGCACCAACTGAAGGTACCCTGGAGCTCAAAGAAGATGCGAGTGAGCTTCAGAAGAAGGAACTCCCAGAGAGCACTGATTTCCTGGCTCCTGATGTTACTTCTGTGGTAGATTCTGACCAACACGAAAGCACGACAAATGCAGAGAAAGACCAAGAACAGTCTGTAAGTGACCTAGACCCTCACTTGAACGGGAGCAGCAAACAGAGCCAAGACCTAAGTGAGCCAGAAAATCAAGCTCAGGGTCCGAAGAGTTCCAGTGAAGAAAAGGAGGAAGAAAAAGAGCCAAGTGAGGTTGGTGTGAATCAGGAGGACCAAGAAAAGGAAAGCGAGTCTCCCAAGAAGCATTCTAGAACCCACCAGGAGGAGAGCACCAAATCTGACGTTGTGGGAGAGTCTGAGCAACCAACTCAAGTGAACAAGATGCAAAAGGATGAAGTTGAGCAAGATAACGAAGAACAAGAAGACGATCAGTCTGACACAGGAGCGGAAGACGAAACTTCATCAAAAACCAAAAAGCACCAGCAAGATTCAGAAGGGCTGAACCTCGAGGAAAAGTCTGGCCTTGAGGGTCTGAGCAACGAAGAGGAGGTGGAGAAAAAGTCTGTTTCTGAATCTTTGCCCATCGAGTCTACGGATGATGAGGGTGACATCATGCCTGGAAATCATGAGGCTGATGATGATGAAAATGACGATGATGATGATGAAGAAGAAGATGATGAAGATGATGGCCACAGGAACCGTGCAAATCATGACGACGCCACTCCAAGCCAGGCCTCCCTGCAGAGTGAAGGATCTCGGTCCAACTACCACCATCTCAAAAACGAAGAGCAAAGAGAGCGAGCGCATGAGAAGGAGAATGTAGACACTAGTGAGGCTGGAGAACACCAGGGGGTAAGAGTTTTTCTACCAACGCTTGTCCAACTGAGCAATTAGCTTTATGAGCTGCCATCATGGCTAGATGTGCAGCATGGTTACTGCAGTTAACAACTCTACATTACAGGTTTTAAAAAATAAATTTTATGAGTCCTCATTACAAGAAAAAAATTTCCTGTAAACTATGTAAACGGTCCAATATTAACTAGAATTCAGGTAGCAACTATTTCTCATATATACAAGCATTAAAACCATTATGTTGTACGCCTGAAAATGACATATAATGATACCTGTCAAAACCTAAAGTATAACAAACTGGAAAATGATTTTTAATGTCATGACCTTTATCTGTGCTCTGTGTAATTTGAATATCTCTCTGAATATTCTACTGAAATGTGTGAGATACAGTTATTTATTTTTACCTCCATCTCTAACATTAAGCTGAGAGAGTTCGTTTTATCCGGGTTTTCCTAGAAGCCAATCCTACGTGTGAGTGCAGATTATAGAAGTTCAACTAAGTGAGAAAGTGATACAGGAAACAGAATGAAACAAATAAAAGGCATCTCCTTCAATGGAGCACGCCCTCCTTTGAATTAACCCATTTGGACAGTGGAGATCAGCTGGGTCTTTATATGAGAGGGGCGGCAGTTCCCTCGCATTTGTACTCTCTTTTGGGAGCAGGTCCAATATATTTCCATGATTTTCCTGGCACAGAGATGCAGATACTGCGGTTGAAATTCCCTGGTGATAACCAAAAAATAGTGACTAATGGTAAACTCTGACAGGTATGGGCGACTGGGGACAGACGATCTAATTCTTGACTGCAGGTACCAGTGATAATCAAATGAGATTATCACTGTCTAGCCAAGTTCCTCTAACCTAAGAGGTCAGGCACTGTTTAGAGAGTTTGCTGTAAACATTAAGAAAAAGACTTTGCGTACCATTTTGTGACACAAACACATACTAACATGACCATCAGGAAATGCAAGAGAGTGGGGTAAGGGAGAGACGTGTTCTTTGGGTATTTATCTGAAGCAAAGTCTCCAGTCACTCACCAGGAAGATTTGACCCAGCTGTGGGCGGACCAGCTCACCAGTCTCCTCCATTCCTAAGACTTTGGCCGCCATTCTTAGATGGAAGTGTTCTTGTACTTTAGAAGCTATATAAAAAATCTTTACCAGCACCTTAGGAATTACTAATGCGACCACCTGTACATCTGTACAACTACAGATGTACGTGATAATACAAAATTGTGACTGTTTCCCGTGTTCCAAAAGGGAAGTTCCAACGTCTGTGGCAGCATTCATTGAGTGATGCCCAGAGATGCAGGACTGAATCCCATTGGTGGAGGGGGAAGGAGACACATCTGTTCTCGGAGGTTAGCACTCCCACAGGTGTGGCTGGTGCTGCTCTGTGATATCTGAGGTCATTCCGCTATGGAAAGCTCTATGAAGGCTGACAGGGTTGGACACGTGAGTTGTACAACAGCTGCCTCTACTGAGCAGTTAAACTTGTGCTCTTCCTGTCATAAAGGCCAAGAAAGCAGAGAGCTCACCCGCTGAGGATGGAGGCTCAACTGAAGGTGACTCGAAGCTGCCCAGTGCTGGTGAGTAGCACCGTGTTCAGGACTCTAGCAGGAAGGAGATGGACTTGGCCCCCGGAAGCCAACACGATTGCCCCTTCTCAATGACAATTTAGAACCTCCACTCCCCAGATTTCCCTCCTCCCAGAAACGCCACCTACACTGTGAACATTTTCCTATAGCACACTTGTTGTGCAACTAAAGGCAAAATGCATTTACAAATGCAACACCCTGTGCTCGTTACTATAAAAGCTAGACTTCTCTTCCCCTAAATCCTTTCGCTTCTGAGAGCTTATTTCACCTCATTTATTCTCAGATTCATTCAAATCTTAATGAATTAAGCTTCCATATGTGATTAACATCCAGCTGCCAGTCACAAAAGTTTTATGGGGAGGGAGGAAGCCAAGAGACGTCAGGAATCAAACCCACAGCCCTGTGCTGCTGTACGCGTGCTCCAGTCCTTGGAGACATCTCCCTGCACTCCCCATCCTCCGGACACAAACACTTTGGTGCCATCACAGTGACGTTGCCATGACTTATTTAATTTCTGACCAATGAGCACAAAATTGCACTGCAGAGCCCAGACTCTGACCATCAAAGTAAACCGAAGAGAAGAGTTTATCCGTTTGTGGTGGGGGCTGTTTTGAGCCACACCTGGCAGTGCTCAGGGCTTATTCCTGGCTCTACACTCAGGAATCACTCCTGGCAGTGCCCAGGAGACCAGATGATTTATTGCGGATGGAGCCAGGAGTCCGCTACTTTCAAGGCAAAGGCCCTACCCCCGTACTATTGCCCTGGCCCTCAGTCTGTCCATTTAAAATCTTCGATTCAAAACACACAGTAAATCTCACTCTCATCTCTAGCTCTCTGATGCCAGAGGGTTCCCTTGAAAATGAACACATGCCTTAAATTGGTTCCGAATGTTTTCCCAAGCGTTCTCTCTTACAAATGAAACTGGAGCTATTGGCCTGAATGAATTTGGGCTTACTTACGCCATTGAGCTCTTACATGTTTCTATCCAAACTCTTCTGTTAGATGTGTGCATGAACTTCCAGTGTAAGAGAGGGCACATGTGCAAGGCTAACCAGCAGGGGAAACCACACTGTGTTTGCCAAGATCCTGCGACTTGCCCTCCTGCAAAACTTCTCGACCAAGTAAGTATTCTACAAAGTGGTCCCTGTTGGACGCCAAACAGTGATTTGAATGCAAGTGGCTTGCAAATGAAACTTTTTAATTAAAAAAAGTCCATGCTTAAGTAATATTTAAAAAAATAACAAGCAGTAGCAAAATCAAAGAATTTCAACTGTGCCCTAAAAAGGTAATATGACATTGACTTATAGACTTACTTCAGTTTTGAGTTTATCTAGCGCTAAGTTGCCATCACCGTGGCAATAATTTATTCTACTGCTTTTGGGGGGTGCCAAATGGGATATAGTTGGGATTCAATGGCCTGGCATGCCTGGCCACATCTGTGGCACACGTCTGATTCAACCAGCCTGTAAGCTTTAAGGCAAAGAGCATCTTTCTAGTGAACTCTTATCAACAACACCTTTTCCATGCCTATTTTTCCTAGGTCTGTGGCACAGACAATCAGACCTATCCCAGCTCCTGTCATCTGTTTGCTACCAAATGCAGAATGGAGGGGACCAAACGGGGGCACCAGCTGCAACTGGATTATTTTGGAGCCTGCAAATGTACGTTTCTGGAACAACCATGCTGAGAAAGCTTTGGGCAAATCTGCACAGAGCTGAATACTATAGATTCAAGTATAGCTTTCCCAGATATGCGAACAGAACAATACCAGCATTGTTTTGAATCCAAGGCCACACATTAAAATCAAATGGGAAACTGAAAAAAAAAATAAGGATGCCCAGGCTTTAACTAAAGATGAACTGGAGATTTAACATGAGATTTTTATTCCATGGCATTGTTTTTTCACTTATTTAAAAAGTAACCCAGACAATTCTAAAATGTAGCCCAAGTTCAGAGTCACTGTAATAAAACTATTCACTTAACAACTGAGATGAATCATTGAACTTTTCTTAAATGATTCAATCTTTTACCCCACTGGCATTAAGCCTCTGCCAAGAACTTTGATAACAACACATTCTTCTAACAATGTTTTGAAAAAAACCTCTTCCTTCCCCAGGATATCTCAGCTGTGCACGGATCTGCTCATTGCTCAGGGTGTCTCTGTAAAATTCCTGCTCTCCCTCTTCTCCCAGACACTGGAGGGGAATAAACCTCTAACCTGGATGTTAGGTGTGCCCATATGAGTCGCTTTGGCCCGTGACTGTCCTCCCGTTGTTCATCGATTTTTTTGAGCAGGCCCAGTAACATCTCCATTGTGAGACTTGTTGTTACTGTGTTTGGCATATCGAGTACGTCACGGACAGCTTGCTTGGCTTTGCCGTGTGGGCGAGATACTCTCGGGAGCTTGCCGGGCTCTCCAAGAGGGGTGGAGGAACTGAACTCGGGTCGGCCGAGTGGGCCACGTGCAAGGCAAACGCCCTACCCACTGTGCTATAGCTCCAGCCCATGACATCTGAGCAAAAATCATCTGTGTGAGGAAGAGCAGGAGCACTTAAGGAAGAGCTAGTGTGAGGTTCTCTGAGCTCCCCAGTGTAGACAAGATGGAGTCTCCATCATGCATCAGAAATGACAAGCATTAGCCTTATCCCAGATGGAGAATTAATCCTTGTTTCTTTAAACTACCATGATGGAACAATACTTTTTACTACCATATAAGCCTACTTATATGGCGGGGGTCACACCCACCAACTGGTCCCCTGGCGCCGTGTAATCCCATCAGCGGCCAAGACTCTGAGACTATAAAAACCAGCTCCCGGAACATCTTATTATGACATCTCATTCCTACTTTGACAAACTGGCAGGCTACCGAATGTAGCCTGCCCACACGGCAGAGTCTGGCAAACTCCCCGTGGCATACCCAATATGCCAAATACCAGTAACAATGATGGGTCTCATTCTCCTAAAGAGCCTTGAATATAATCTCAGGGCTAGGATGAAGGAGACGTTACTGGGGCCTGCTCGAGGCAATCGAGAATAACAGGATGATCTGTGATCTGTGATCTGTGACCATACAAGCAAAATTCCACCTTTTCTTTTTTTTTCTTTTAATCATTAGCTCTGTGCCCCCCTCCCGCCAAACAAATTCCAATTCTGATTAGGGTATGTGGTTCTCAGACCTGGATGAGAGTGAAAACTTTTTAATTTTACATTAATTTTTAATGTAAACTTTTAAAAATATGCTAGGGTGCTGAAAGATATTACAGTGTTTAAGTACCAACAGTGTAAGGTGCTTACTCTGCATGCAGCCATCCTGGGTTTGATCTCCAGCACCACATACGGCCCCCTGAGCCCACCAGGAATGATCCTTGAACACAGAGCCAGGGAAAATCCTGAGCACCACCAGGCCTGGTCTCCCCAGAACATTCAATACAAAAAAACATTCTAGTAGCCACGTTCTGCCACAGACTGATGCCGTCAAAATGTTTTTGAGCAGAAGCTGGTAGATGGTAGTTTTGAAAAATCCCCCTGGCAATTCTGCTGTGACTCTGGGGTTCGAGCCCAGGGTGGTAATGCTCACGTGGTCCCTGCTGACCCTACCTAGAAGCTGGTGACCTCACCATGGAAACGGGGTAAGACCCAGAAACTAATGTTTGCTTCCTCTGCTTGGAACAGCTATTCCTGTCTGCACGGACTTTGAAGTGGCTCAGTTTCCTCTAAGGATGCGGGACTGGCTTAAGAACATCCTCATGCAGCTGTATGAGCCCAACCCTGAGCACAACGGCTACCTGAATGAGAAGCAGAGAAACAAAGTAAGTCATCGACGGGATGGCACAAGTGTCTTCCTAGAGCCTGAGTAAGCACAGGGTCCAGGCAGAGCCCGGGGTTCCCTCTGCACTTCGCCGAAAACCCCCTTTGCCTTCCCAGGTCTGTTTAGGGGATACGGATTATCAGGATATGGAGTGTCGGTCCCCATTGCCCTCACAGGCGCGGATATAATCACACCATCCCTTCCGTGCATATAGGACAGTGGCTAAAGACGCACTCTTGAACTCAAACCTAGAGCAAGCTCGGCTGAGAAATTCGGGCCAAACATCTGATTTCAATTGAAGCCTCTCTTCTGCTCTCAGAGGCCAGACACAGATATATCATGTAAAGGAAACGTTACTCCCAATGTCAATAAGATTTAAAAGTTTAGAACATTAACTCCAGAACTTCCCAGGGGAAAAAAATAATGCATTTATCATATTATCTTGCGTATCTGGAATCAATTTACTTGATGGGGAAAGAACAATGAATCCCTAAACAAAAATCTCTACCTCAAGAGCTCACACTCAGGCAAAGAGACAGAGTCCGAACAAATAAATATGTACTCAAGTATGAACATATTTACAGATCTATAAATACATGAAAATGTTTATGAACTTGCATGTATAAACTGTGTCTGGTGAGATAAAGCATGTCACGAAAAAATAATAAAGGAAGGAGGGTGTGCATGAACGGTGTCAGATGTTGATTCCAGATGGTAAGACAGGAACTGAAGGCTGCATAGGTTGGCCATAGCTGGCCTTGACAGTTGCTGTTTCTGCAAGTGAGGAAGAGAGGAGGCTGAGTGTGTGGGCTGGAGCAGTGAATGGGAGGAAGGATGTACAAGCAGCAAGGATGTGAAGGCTCTCTGCTATAAAGGGGAACCGTGAAACGAGGCAGTGGTAGGAAGGGTGAGTACAAGATCCCCCCACCCTCGAAAGATGGCCAAGGATGCTTGCTTCAGGAAATAATCTAGCAGGGAAGGAAACACTCACGCAAGGTGTTCTTGAGTCGATGAGAAAATTCAAGCCTGGTAACTCTGGTACTGTGTCCCGGGAATGAGTAGAAATTCTGATCTGATGGCTTCCAAATACTTAATGGGTGAAGTCACAGCTGAAGGACTCCCATGCTTCGCCCCGAACAAATTTCTATCCTCTCTTTTTAGCAGATGTCACAGTGCGTTTGGAGCTTGTTCTCTCTGTGACCGGGAAATTTGATTGGTGGTGTCTGGTGCGTGGCACATGAAGGTTGAGCTGAGACTGAGTGGGAGCTCGCAGGAAATCCAGAGGCTTAACAATGGCATGAGCCGGGGGAGGGAGAAGCAGGGCTAACAATTTTGCCCACATCGTTTCATCCCTTTCTTAAATCCTTCTCGTATTTCAAGGGATGCATTGACCACGGCTTGGTTAAAGGAGGAAATGGTAGAGTTTTCATTTTTTTAATCAGCTTTAAGGACTGGAGAGATGGTACACTCACCTTGCACATGGTCTCCCTGAGTTCCAGCCGGGGCACTACAGATGGTCCCCTGAGCTCTGCTGGTTGTGGCCCAGAAAAGAGCAAAATAAAGCTAATAAAATAAAATAAAATAAATCAGTTCTGTATGTCAAATAAGAAAGACTGTGCTGGAGAAAGAGTACAGAGGTTAAGACAGGTGCCTGCCAAATCAAGGGTGTTGGGAGGTTCCTCTCAGGGTGGGAGATGCGTGATGAGAGTAGACTATAGACCGAACGTGATTGCCACTCAATGTCTCTTTTGCAAACCACAGCACTCAAAAGGAGAGAGATAACGGAGGGGAATGCCCTGCCACAGTGGTAGGGTGGGATGGGGGCAGGGGGGAGGGATGCTGGGACTGGTGGTGGTGGAGAAGGGGCACTGGTGGAGGGATGGGTATTCGATCATTGTATAAATGAAACCCAAGCACAAAGATTTGTAAGTCTACAACTGTACCTCATGGTGTTTCACCAATAAAAATTTAAGAGAAAAAAAAAACTCTGAAAAAAAATAAAAGACAGGTGCCTGGCGTGCCCCGACCCAGGTTCAAATACCTGGCACTGCATGGGCTCCTGAACACCACTAGAGGGCACACTGGAGCACAGTCAGAAACTTCGACTAAGCACAGTCCTATGTGAGCCAAATCCACCCCTCCCCCCCCCACACACACACATACACAATCAAAAGCTTTGAAGGTATTTAACCTGGTTTCAAATGACAACTTTGGCATGTTTTCCTGTCAGTCACTTTTCAAGTAAAACTTGAAGTGATAGAAAACGATGATACCATTAACCTCGTCTGACTCCCTGATGGTCTTTCCCTTCCGAATCCCAGGTCAAGAAAATTTACTTGGATGAGAAAAGACTCTTGGCCGGGGACCATTCCATTGACCTTCTCTTACGGGACTTCAAGAAAAATTACCACATGTATGTGTATCCTGTGCACTGGCAATTCAGTGAACTTGACCAACATCCCACAGACAGGTAAAAACCCTCTGATCTCCCATTATTAGGTCACTTCCCAGTATAATGTCTAGTTATAGATGCAAAGATAATTCAAATAAAAGATTGGGAAATGTCCTTGTTCCATTCTAGAACACTGATAAGCCAAGTACAGAGTCTAAACACAAATCCCCACTGAAAATAACAGAAGGGGCTAGGTCACTGCCCCAGCTCCCCCACAGAGATGCCTTCATTCCTTATTCCTGAGACTGAATTTCTGATATGGTCCCTGTTGGGCCACCTGCTATGGGTACAACATCCAGGTGAAAGTGTTGCAGACAAGAGCAAGGTTTGAGTCTGCAATGTGGGTGATGTCAAGCGACCTCAGATTTATTCAAACTCCCCCCAAAAATTGGCTACTGGAAACAAAGATTTAAAATTGCAAAGAAATGGAAGTGTGGGGACAGAGCAATAGTACAGGGGGGAGGGTGTTTGCCTTGCACGTGGCCAATCTGAGTTCTAATCCCTGGCATCCCATATGGGCCCCCAAGTACTGCCAGGAGTAATTCCTGAGTGCAGAGGCAGGCGTAACCCCAGAGCATCGCTGGGTGTGACTCGAAAAGAAAAGAAAAGAAAAGAAAGAAAGAAAGAAAGAAAGAAAGAAAGAAAGAAAGAAAATGAATGTGTATTGAGAATAAGTATAGAAATGCCCCACTTGAGATAGGATTCAGAGAAATGGTGTAGTGGGATGATTATTGTCTGGTGTGTTTGTAGGTTCTCTTCACAATAGTGCTAGGTTGGACCGCTGTTCTATGACGAATGACGCTCTGTTTATCTCGTAATTGCCAGCTGGGTTAGGATACCCTGACATCTCCCGCTAATAGGCGGCTCTGGGCATACGTTATGTTATTTAAGCCCTTTGGAAGCTGCAGCCTCTGCTAAGTGGCTCAGAGAAACTGGAGGTTATTAGTACTTCATTTGCCCAAAAGGATTGTTTACGTTTTCTGGTTGAGGATGATTGTTGAATCTTCCCCTGCCTTGGAGTGAAGAAAGTCAATAATATCACTGGCAGTGACTTTAAAAGCCCAATTGTGTGATCCAGCAGTTTTCACAAACTTTTATTGAACTATTTTTTTTACAAATCCATGACCCATTTTATTGTAACAAGCACTATATAATAAATTATTTTGAGCCTGCTAAGGAGGGTGGGCTTCGGGGGAGGTGGGAAACTGGAGACGGTGGTGGAGAGAAGGTCACTCTGGCGGTGGGATTGGTGTTGGAACATCAAACACCAGAGACAACTGTCTTATGCACAACTTTGCAAAGCACAGTGTTTAAAGAAAGTTCTTATCTTTAAAAATGAAGTGTCTCCTGACAACTGATCAGGGAAAACTGAAGAATCCTTTTTCACACGGGATGGGTGAGAACGAGGCTGTGTGAACACGACTGCCTGCCGCAGGGCGGGTGGGGAGCCCCTGTGGATTTAGAGTGGAGGCAGGGTTCCAGGGAAGGGGGAAACTGAACTGCCACCGCCAAAGACATCCTCTGTAGGCACGCACAGCTGGTGTCATCCACAGCGCTTCACGACTGACTGCCGTTCTCTCCTCTGGCTCTGCCTCCTGGTGGGAGAAAAGTCCCTCTAGGAGCGACTCACTCACAGGCTGTCCTTCGTTCCTTGCAGAGTCCTGACACATTCTGAGCTGGCTCCTCTGCGTGCGTCTCTGGTGCCCATGGAGCACTGCATCACCCGCTTTTTCGAGGAGTGTGACCCCAACAAGGATAAACACATCACCCTGAAGGAGTGGGGCCACTGCTTCGGGATCAAAGAAGGTAAATCTGGCCGCCAGAGCTGGGCTCTGCTCCAAACTCGCACTGGGGCCCATGCCGGCCCCAAGCCGGCCGACAGCCTGTTCAGATGTGCAAGAGTGAGGGCAGAGGGCCACAGTGCACATGCCGTCTCTGCAAGGTGGTTTCTTTCTGGGGTCGCACTGTATAGCACTGTCCTTCCGTTGTTCATCGATTTGCTAGAGCGGGCTCAATAATGTCTCCATTGTGAGACTTGTTGTTACTGTGTTTGACATATCGGATACGCCACAGGGAGCTTGCCAGGCTCTGCCATGCGGGTGGGATATTCTCGGTAGCTTGCCGGGCTCTCCAGGAGGGGTGAAGGAATCCAACTCGGGTCTGCCAGATAGGCCACATGCAAGGCAAACAAAGAACTATTTTTTCTTTCCCTAAGTTAGCACAATACCATTGTGCTATCGCTCCAGCATATATATATATATATATATATATATATATATATATCCTCTAGTATATGTATATATATATATACTCTATAATGCTGAGGAAGTTGTTAGTATATTCAGACAATAACAGTTATTCGCTAGACAGTCAAGACTTCCCCAACATGTTAAAGCTAGAGGATGTATAGTATATATACTAAAAGATACACACACACACACACACACATATATATATATATATATATATATATATATGTAGCTTACCAGGATAAATACTGAGAAATATGCAGGGCTTACTGCTTGCAGGGCTTGGCAGCTGGCTGAAACTAAGAAGATAATGGGACTCCAGGGAGCCCGTCTGATTAAGGAAGTAAAGAGGGAAAGATATTTATAGCGCTCATGTAGCTGGATATTAGGCCAAACTTTCTTTTAAAATTACACGTAAAGAATAAAACAGCAAGTCCGATTCTTATAAGATGTCTTATAATTTATTCTAAGATACCAAGACACTAAAAATTAGATCATATGTATGACTGCAAGCTGTGCCCAGATATTAACCCGGAATGACCCATTTCTTTTTCTTTTGATGATTAAAAGTCAATTGGCAAGTGGGGACAGCAGAAGAATAGTACAATGGGTAAGGTGGATATGGCTGACCTGGGTTCTATCCCCAACAACGAACATTGGTCTCCAGGCAGTGCCTGAGTAAGCCCTAAGCACCGTGAGGTGTAGTCCCCAAACAAACAAAAATAAATAAAATTTAAAAACTGGTAGATTTTTTTATTGACTGCTGTAGTGGTATAATTTAAGTATAAACATGAGTTTTGCTGAGTTCTGCCTTAATCTATTTTTTTCTTTCCCTAAGTTAGACTTAATTTTATGAGCAAGCACCTTTTTCAATGATCAAGATTAAAATGATGTTCAAATAGCACTGAAGCACTGTCCTCCCATTGTTCATCAATTTTCTCGAGCAGGAACTAGTAATGTCTCCATTGTGAGATATGTTGTTACTGTTTTTGGCATATTGAATATGACACATGGAGCTTGCCAGGCTCTGCCATGCAGGCAAGATACTCTCAGTAGATTGCCGGGGCTCTCCGAGAGGGACAGAGGAATCGAACCTGGGTCGGCAGCATGCAAGGCAAATACCCTACCCGCTGTGCTATAGCTCAAATAATGAGCAATAAATCCTGCTGGTAAGATGTGCCAACAATGAACATCAAATTTCTAAAGTAGAAATTTCACACACGTATATTCACAGCATACATGATAATGATTATGCACCAATTAATAATCAATTTTATCAAAGGTCTATAATTTCCCAAAAAGAGATACATTTCCCTAAAAGAACTTCACTTAAAAAATATTCTCCATTCAAATGTATAATTCACTTAAAAATTCCTTCAAATTAAAAAATTAGCTGAGCATTAAATATAGTTGGTTATTATGTATACATCTATGTGTGCAAAAGAATTTTCCTTTTCTTCTATTGTATTCTGTGAAATAAGCAAAACTGTGATTGGGCAAATATCCAAAGCTACAGATAAGAGACTCCATTTCTTACCATAAGGACCCAAAGTTATAGACAGAGGCTTCATTTCTTATTTTGGTTTGGTTGGTTGGCTTTGGGGCCACATCCAACAGTGCCGAGGGCTTTCTCCTAGCTCCTAATGATTCCTAACGGCTCAGGAATCATTCCCAGTGGTGCTCAGGGGACCACATGTGGTGCAGGTGATCAAACCGGGTCCACTGCTTGCAAAGAAGTGCCTTACCCAGTGTACTATTGCTTGGGTCCAGAGGTTTCCGTTCTTACCATGTGATCCTTTCCATAGGTCTTCTCAAGGAATTGCCTCTGATCTTTTTCCAGAATGAGTGATAGAAAGAGAGAGGAGGGACTGGAGCCATAGCACAGCGGGGAGGTCATTTGCCTTGCACATGGCCAACCCGGGTTCGATTCCCAGCATCCCATATGGTTCCCCGAGCACCGCTAGTAGTAATTCTTGAGTGCATGAGCCAGGAGTAACCCCTGTGCAACACCGGGTGTGACCCAAAAAGGAAAAAAAAGGAAGAAAAAAAGAAAGGGAAAGGAAGTGAACGGGGAAGAAGGAAGAAGAGGGCAAGAGAAAGGAAGCAGAGAGGGAGAAGAGAAAGGAGAAGAGAGGGAGAAGAGAAAGGAGAAGAGAGGGAGAAGAGAAAGGAGAAGAGAGGGAAAGCAAAACTAAATCTGAAGCATCTTTTACAGCCTTTCAGAAATGACACACTTTCTCCTGCCCATATGACAATTAGACCTACAGAATGATCCAACTATGATATCACGGAGGCTGCAGGAGGAGGGGATCTCCGAGACGGGCTCCCGTGTAGCTTATGCTCCACGAGGATTGGTAGAAAGTGTCATCTCATACTGAACCCAACCTGATTGAAACATAATAAAAGCTTTTATTTGGTGTTTCATTAGGACTGTAGCCTGGAGACACAAATTTACGTAACCCTTGACTCATGCTCTGAGTTGCCTTGGATGGCTTATAACCACATGGTAAAGGAAAGACAGTGCTCATTCTGGTCAACCATGCAACATTAGGGTTCTGAGTAAACCAAATGCCAATGGGTGGCCCACTGTGCCAATTAGGCAAGACGTCAGTGGCACGTCTTCTGGTGCAGGAACAGAAAAACTTGATGAAAAGTTAGTTCAGCAATGGTTGGTTGCTTTTCCACTCTTCCCAAAGGTGGATATGCTCAAAACATTGGCCTTGACATGCCTGAGTGTGCTGGGACCCCACCTCAACTGTCTACCCACACCTTTTGGTTCTACCCAGACTAGAACAGCTATACTTTCCTCCCTCCCTCCTTCCTCCCTCCTCTTCTTTCTTCTTCTCCTCCCCTCCTCTCCTCTTCTCTCCCCTCTCCTCCCCTCTTCTCTCCTTCCCTCCTCTCCTTCCTTCATAACTTCCTTTTATATCCCATAAGTCAACAAGCTATTAAAACCCAGACCCTTACAAATAATTACTATTTCCTTCCCAACATCCATTCTATGAGCACAGTATTGATGAATTCAGCTATATCCCAAAAAGTGACCAAAGCTGGTTTTTTTTAATGCCCATAATAAAAAGACAAAATTATACAGGTACAGTTGCCTGACCTTTCCATCCACTATCAAGAAGCAAAGAAATTAGGTGGCACAGAACATATTCTTACATGCCCATTTCCAGGGCATGTGACTTTAAAAGAGTGATCAAAAGGAAAAATTGAACAAACGCCCTCCGCGTAAGGAAGTGAGCCTTACTCTGCTCTTTTGAAAGTTCTGGCAATTCTTGTGCATGTCGAGGTCGCTGGGCTCGGGCTGGGCTGGTGTCTGGGAGGAGCAGGAAGAGACTCAAGTTCAATGACTCGAAAAACTCCTAATGATCTTGTTTGTTCACTGTGGTTTGGCTTGGATGACGTTATTTTGAAGGACGGAAAGGATTATCACATAGTAAGCCAATTAAGCAGATATTAAATACTCGGTCAGGACAAGTAAACAAGATATGTTTTGGGAGGCAGCTAAACAGACCAAAGTGGAAAAAAAATTTCATCTACATTTGTAAATCTATCCTTTCTTCTTCTCAGTATTGAGAACCCCACAGAAGAACAAGATCAATTTTGTTTAGTATTTTCTTAAATTTTAACTACCTTTGGTCTGAATTAGATGTACTTAAATATTTCAGCCAGAGTCAGGTTTTTGTTTTCTTGCATGGAAAAGTGAGGTTCCATTTGGAAGGAAAGTTTCATTTACTCATTTTACCATGACATGAGATGTATTGACACATAAGCACATTTATCTTTAGAAAAACTTTCCTAGTGAGACTAAGAGTGCAAACAAGTCAGAGCCTGCAGGTCCCACTAAGCCAGCTAAAGACATCATCCTAAAAGCACTGGAGCATCAACAAAGAGTTCCATACTCAGTGAGTTCACTCTGTTCGTAAGCAAGTTTCCTTTAGTCATATTGTGGAGAAGCCAGAGAATGTTTGATGGGGCACTGTGGCAAACCCAGGCGGGAGATGAGGAGAACTCAAACTAGAGGAGTTACAATGGGGGAAAGAAAAGTAAATCCCTTAAGATGTATTTTGAAATATAATATATTTTAAATATATTATAGTTTAAAGTATATAGTTTAAATATATTATATTTAAATATATATCTAAGTCATGTTCAAGATTACAAAGAGTCAAGACGTAGAGCATGTATAAATAAGACCATATTTGATAGAAAAATGTGGGTGTGAAAGGAACAACTCATTAGGAGATTTCAACAAAGAGAAATACAGTTCTCAGGTTCCTCATTTGGGCCATGCAAGATCAATAGAGGTAAGTCACTTATAGAATGACTGCACTCATTTGTGGAATATAAAATATAATATGAGACTGACACCCAAGGACAGTAGACACAAGGGCCAGGAACATTGTTCCATGATTGGAAGCCTGCCTCATGAGCTGGGGGAGAAGGCAGCTGGGATAGAGAAGGGGTCACTAAGTTAATGATGGTCGGAGGGGTCGCTTGGGATGGGAGAAGTGGGCTGAAAGTAGACTAAGGACCAAACATTATATCCTCTCATCATCTGGATTGCAAACCATAATGCCCAAAAGTAGAACCAGAGTAAGGGGGAGACTGTCTGCCATAGAGGCAGGGGGAAGGTTGGAAGGGGTAGGTAGGGATACTGAGGACATTGGTGGTGGAGAATGTGCACTGGTGGAGGGATGGGTGTTCGATCATTGTATGAATGAAACTCAAACATGAAAGCTTTGTAAGTGTAGCTCAGAGTGATTCAGTAAAAAAAAATAGAGGTAAGTCACTTTGCACTGAGGTAAAAAATATAAGGACAGAAGTGTATTTGGGGAAAATGAAAAATTCTATTCTGGACATGCTGAGCTTAGGGTACAAATGCTCCACTGACAACTGATCATAAGGTGCCTATTTCAGCACCATATTTACTAAAACTGGAGTGAGACAGAGCAGATGTATCACTGTCTCTGTGTAAGGATAACTGACTCTATGGGTCTGTTTTTCAGGATAGTGTTTGGAGGCCAGAAAGAAAGCACAGTGGGCAGGGCACTTGCTTTGAATGTGCCCCAAACAGGTTCAGTCCCTGGTATCCCATATGATGCCCCAAGCCAGCCCAAGCGGTCCTTGGGTACAGAGCCAGGAGTAAGCCCTGAGTATGTTTGAGTGTGATCCCAAACCAACACAACAACAAAAATAAAGACTGTATTTGGAAATTTTAAATGCATGTTTGAGTATAATGATCGTGCATATTAACTGACCTCAGGAGAGAAAATTAATTCCCCAAGGAAATTGTGTTAAGTTACATGGAAAAGGATTGAACACCAGGAACAATATCTGGACCAGCATTCTTCAACTTCCCACACCTGTGGACCAGTTAAACCTGCCACGGGATTTGGGGGCATAGTTGGGGCCAACTGCCAGGAAACGTCCGCAGACTGAGACCAATCCATGCACCACAGATTGAAGAACAGGAATCTAGAGGGTAAAAATATGCAGGAAAAGGAGTCTGTGAAGGAGAAGGAAAACTCTCCTGAATGAAAAAAATAGAATCGTGCCATGTGGAAGGAGTTATTTCAAAGGAAGAACAAGTGAACAGTGGCAATTGATACTGAGAGATCAAATTCTTGGGGTTGAGAAAGAGTAGGAGGTGAGAAAAGGTAGTATATGTGTGTTTGAAGGCAAGAAAGAGAGAGGGAGAGGGAAGTGTTTTGAGGTGCATGAGGTTAAGCACTCATTCATTCATTCATTCATTCATTTATTCAAAGAGTGTTTACGGATGGCCTACACAGTGCTAACAGGTTAAACAGCATATTCACACACTAATGTGATATACATCATTTTTTAAATGGGAATACATAAAGGGGAAAGAAAAATAAGTGAATTCAGAGTGATCCTGAGGAAGGGGAGTAGAATTGTCCTAAAGTCCACAGGAAGGACATCTTGCAACTGAACAGGAAGAAGACAAAAAGTATGAATGAGGGGGCTGGTGTACAGAGGGTAGGGCATTTGCCTTGCACGCGGCCGACCCAGGTTCAATCCCCAGCATCCCATATGGTGCCCCAAGCACTGTGAGGAGTAATTCCTGAGTGCAGAGCCAGGAGGAACCCCTGAGCATCACTGGATGTGACCCAAAATGAAAAAAATCAAAAAGTATAAATGAATGTGATAGAAACCAATTTATAAGTAATGAAACTACTCTTTCTGTTTCACAAATAAAGTCAGTTCTCAAATATGTACCAAAGGTATGTATTTACATAAGGTATGTATGTACCAAAAATATGTACCAAAGGCCATCATCCTTTCCTCATTTAAGGTGTAACTTGTCTTGGGCAGGGAAATTTTCTGGTATCCCAGAGTTCTTCACATTAATGTGCTTTAAGTTCTGGTTCAACGGTTACTGAGTGGACGTGGGCCAGGTCAGTAGCAGTGGTCTGCTTACCCCTAAGAGACGTTGTCTTTTTCTCTAGAGGAACAAGTTCTTCTACAATTACTAGATTGAAAACTGGAGTTAACTGGCCCAAGGCTTGTATTTATTTCTATGTTGTATGTGAGCAACCCTTCCGGGAAATTAGCTTGGTACTTCCTGGCTGAACAGTCCCTCAACCTTCCCCATCAGTGACGCTCAGCCCTACATCAGAACCAACTGCAGAGCTTTGTAACTGCATTCAAACCTGGACATTCTGATTCAGGAAGTCAAAGGCAAGGCCTGTGAACACATTTTTTTTCAAAGCTTCACTGAGTTACTCTGACACCCTGGGAGGGCTAAGAGTCATTGTATACTCAGCTCCTAAAGAGATGCTTCTCCCTGCTCTAGCAGGGGGTTTCTGTCCATGATTTTTCCGTGGCTGCGTTCTGAAAGCATGTTCTGTTCTGTTTGTTTTTTGCAGAAGACATAGATGAAAATCTTCTGTTTTGAAGAGGGAATTGAATGCGCTCAAAGTTTCCAGCATCTTCATCTGTTTCACCACATCTGAAATCTCTGCAGCTGTGGAACTCCCAGAGACTTACTAGCGAATGTTTGCTTTTCTCAGAAGACATGAGAGCAACTACTTAACCATACTGTATGCGCCCGACATTTAGTAGTAACTGAAAATAAAAGCCAATAGACGCAAAATACAGCCTAACGGTTTGTGAACAATCTAACTTATTACACTCTGCATCCATTTATGAGACATGTACTAGTCATAAAACTTGAAGAACTGTGTTCATTTTGTCTATCATATCTGCACACCAAGAAAACGCAATGAGGCTCTTTACTTGTTAATGTGTCTTGTTTCCAATATCTTAATATCCTAATAAAAACCCAAATACATATGCAAGTTCATTTCTAGTCATTTATTTCAAGTGAAATAATGTGAAAGGCCAACTCAGGACTCCCATCATATCAAACTGTAGCTTTGCTTCCAAAGCACAGTTCCTTGGTCTTAAGGAGTGTTGGGTGTGGTTGCAGATCTTCCTGAGGGGAAACAAAGATCTGGTTGTGCAAAACTCACTTCTAGACTCAGCAAACCCTGTGGTGGTTATTGGGAAAGGGGAGGGGGGGTGAGAGGACAAAGGGTCTTTTCAGTGGTGGGGACAGCACTGGACTCCGCTGGTGAGAGAGTGACCATCACACACACACACACACATGCACACACGCACGCACACACAAGCACATGCACACACACATGCATGCACACACACACATGCACACATGCACACACACTGATAAGAAGCTAACCCCCTGACATGTCATAGTATTGTAAACCAGTCATAAGGAAAACTAATATTTTAGTCACAGATACTTGTAGTCACAAATGCCCCGTGGTTAGGTGGCAGCTGCTCGTGAATGTTCTTTGTCTACAAGAAAAATAAAGCAATTGTAGTGCTCTCTACTAAACTCAGTTCCAAAGCAGATGATTAACTGCTACTTGAAGAAACAACTTCTGGCTTTTATACCATCGCATGTGTGTGGCAGAAGAGAAGAAGGCACACAAAATTTCTGTGTATGACCATGTCCTCAGAATAAAAGGGAGGACCAAGATAATACAGCTCGGAGCGCTGGTGTTCAATATAGTCAACAAAAAGCATTATTCCTGTGCATTGATAGCAAGAGTAGGTAGTATAAAAGAAATTCTATGTTTTTCTGTGAACTCTTTTTTTGGGTGACTATAAATATAGTAAAGGCTAGATGTCAAACCATGATTGAGCTTTCCAGAATCTGAAACTTGTCAATGAAAGAACTTGTCACCATTTAATTTACAGTACTTCAAAGAATTGTTGGTTTACTAGGGACTTCCCCAGTGGTGGTGGGGATCTAGGGACCACTCCTAGCAATGCTGGTGCAGGGGTTATTGAAGTTATGGTGCTCCAGTTCAGCAGGCCTGGGAGACCAGGAGGAATCAGGATCAAACTTAAGCTTTCAGGCATGTGAGTCACGCACCCCAACCCTTTGAGCTATTATACTGGCCCCTAAAATGGTTTTTGCTTTTTGTTTTGGGGCCACACACAGCAGTGCTCAGGGCTTACTCCTGGAAGGCTAAAGGAAACATATGGGGTGTCAGGGATTGAACCCCCATTGGCTGCATGCAAGGCAAATGCCCTACTCAATGTCCCATCACTCCAGTCCCCCTAAAATGATTTTTCACCTATCCTTTCCTAACTGAAGTGAAAACTCTCAAAGCAAAACATGTTGGATTATTTTTGCAAATCAAGAATTTACTGTCATTATTGGGGTTATAAGACTTATTGGCTAATTAGACTATCCCTTGAAATTTTATCTAAAATAGACATCTATGAAAGTTTGGGGGTTTGGTTTGGTTTTGTCTTTTTCCCTTTTTATTGAAGTACCATGATTTGCAATACTGTCAATGATAGTTTGACACATACATCATGCCAATCCCATCCCAGAGTGCCCGCTTACCTCCACCAGCGCCCCAAGAACCCTCCCACCTCCCCCTCTCCATTCGCCAAGGGAGCCTCTGTTCTGTGATCATCTCTCCAGCCCTGCGGAGTTTGGCCATCTGTTATTCTCATGTCACTGTCACTGTCACTATCCTCCCGTTGTTCATCAATTTGCTCAAGCGGGCCCAGTAACGTCTCCACTGTGAGACTTGTTGTCACTGTGTTTGGCATATCGAATACATCACGGGGAGCTTGCCAGGTTTCACATGTTTCTGAATATCTTACATTCGAGAGAGATCATTCTGCATCTCTCTTCTGGCTGACTTCCCTCAGCAGGACACCCTCAGTTCCATTCACATAGTAGCAAATCATCTTTTTTTTGTGAGAGGTGAGTAGTATTCTGTTATGCAGATATACCACAATTTCTTTATCCAGTCATCTACTCCTGGGTCCTTGGGTTGTTTTCAGATCCTAGGTACTGTGAACCTCAGGGCACAAAGGCCTTTTGTGAATAGATATTTTGGACTTTGAGGTTAGATGCCAAGAAGTGGAAGTGCTGAGTCATCAGAAAGTTCAATTCTTAGTTTTATGAGCAATGTCCATATTGTTTTCCAAAACGGTTGAACCAGTCAACATTCCCACCACCTGAGGATTAGGGTTTTTTTCATACATCCCAGCATCATTGTTTGCTTTTACTATTTTTATTTGAGCAGGTCACAACCAGCAGTACTCAGGATTTACTTTTGGCTCTGCAATCAGGAATCACTACTGGTGGGGCTCAGGAAGCCACCTGGGGTGCCAGGGATCAAACCCAGGCTGACTGAAAACAAGGCAAGTACCCTGCCCATTGTACTGTCACTCCAGCCTGGCCCTGACAGTTTTTTTTTAATCTTTTTGCTGTGTGGCAGTCTCATTGGTGTGAGGCGATACCTCACAACTGTTCAGATTTGCATTTCCCTAATGATAAGTGATAAAGATCACTTTTTCATATACCTGTCGTGTCCCTCTGATGATCTTCCTTAAGGAAGTGTCATTTCCTTAAAGAAGAAGTATCACTGGTTATCTTCATTTCTAGTCTCCATTTTTTTGATAAGATCATTTTTTTAATTGCTAAGTTTTGCCTGAATATTAACCCTTTGTCAGGTGGGCAAATATTTTCTCCTCTTTTAATTCTTGTTATTGTTTCTTTTGTGGTGCAGAAGTTTCTTAGCTTGATATAGTCTGATTTGGTTATTTTTGTTTCTGTTTGCTTGACCAAAGGCATTGAGTGGTAGAAAAATGACACTAGATTTAATGTCATAAAGAGTTTTGCCTATGATTTCCTTAATATAATTTATGGATTGAAGGGTCTGATATGAAGGTCTTTTATCCACTTTGAAATGATTTTTATGTAAAGTGTGAGATAATTCTTTTTTTTTTTTGACATGTAGCTGGCTAATTTTCCCAGCACCACTTTTTAAAATGGCTTTTTTTGTTCCACTTCACACTTCTAGGATTTTGTCAAATAATAGCTGTCCTGGAGCAATAGCACAGCGGGTAGGGCGTTTGCCTTGCATGTGGCCGACACGGCCTATCCGAGTTCGATTCCTCTGCCCCTCTCAGAGAGTCCTCAAGCTACGGAGAGTATTCACCCACACGGCAAAGCCTGGCAAGCTCCCCGTGGCATATTTGATATGCCAAACACAGTAACAACAAGTCTCACAATGGAGACGTGACTGGACCTGCTCGAGCAAATCGATGAACAATGGGAAAACAGGGACAGTGACAACAGCTGTCCATATACCTGAGGATTTATTTCTGGGCTCTGAACTCTATTCAATTGGTCTGAAAATTCGTCTTTATTCCAGTACCACACTGACTTCATTACTACAGCTTTATAGTAGAATTTAAAGGAGCACTGCACAAAAAAGAGAAAAATAAATAAACTAACAAACAAGTAAATAAATAAATGAAGTAGCACTGCACGGTAGTACTGTCTTCCCCTTGTTCATCAATGTGCTCGAGTAGGCACCAGTAATGTCTCCATGGTGAGACTTGTTGTTACTGTTTTTGACATATCGAACATGCCAAGAGGAGCTTGCCAGCCTCTTCTGTGTGGGCAAGATACTCTCAGTAGCTTGTCAGGTTCTCTGAGAGAAACAGAGGAATTGAACCAGGGTCAACCACCTGCAAGGCAAACGCCCTCCCCCTGTGCTATTGTTCCAGCCCAGAATTTAAAGTAGTATTTAAATTTTTCTTCTACAATTATTTTAGTTATTCAAGTTTTATTTCTCCATATGCATTTTAACAGCATGTGGCCTGTGTTTCTAAAAATGTCTTGGATATATTTATGGAGAGTGCACTGCATCTGTCTAGTGCTTTGCTAGTACTTTGGGAAGGCTGTTCATTGAGACAACATTGATCTTTCTGATCCACACACAGGGAGTGGGTCTCCTTCCTTGTGTGTTCTTTTGTTTCTTTTAGTAGAAACTTTCCTCATAAAAGGTCTTCACCTCCTTTGTTAAGATGATGCCCCATTACTTGATTTTTAAACGTGCTTTTTTTGTTTTACGCCTACACCCAGTGGTGTTCAGTGCTTACTCTCCAGCCCTGGTACTTGGTTTTTTATGCCACTGTTTTTCTAATTTACTTTCTTTTTCATTGTTTGTATCTAGTAAAGCCATGGATTTGTGTGTTGAGTTTGTCGCCTGCCATCTGGACTCTTACAACTTTCCAAGACTGACTGGGGATGAAACAGGGACCCTCAACAGATGGATTACTAGGAAGGAAATTGAAATGTCAATTTAAAAAATCCCCCCCAAGTAAAAGCCCAGGCCCAGATGGGTTTACTGACACGTTTTTTCCAAACCTTTGAAGAAGGGCTAAGGAGTCAGGATAGCAGGGAGGGTGCTTGCCTTGAATGCTGCCAACCTAAATTCAATCCCTGGCACCACATACAGTCCCCTGAGCACTACCAGGAGTGACCCCCGAGCACAGAATCAGGAGAAATCCCTGAGCACAGCCAGGTGTGGGACAACTCCCTCTCTCCAACAAAAAGAGACAAAGCTTCAAAGAAGACCTACTTCCAAGCCTACTTGGGCTCTTTCATAAGGTCAAAGAAATGGAAACCCTTCCAAACAATTTCTTTTTTTTTTTCATTTTTTATAATTTTATTTATTGAATCACCGTAAGAGCAATTACAAAGCTTTTGGGCTTAAGTCTCGGTTATACAATGAAACACCCGTACCTTCACCAGTGCCCCAGTATACCCCCATGCCACACCTTCCCCCTACCTGTGGGGCAGATGATTTTCACATTACTCTCTCTCTCTCTACTTTGATCACATTCAATAGTTTGACACCAGACCCATCAATATTATTTGGGATTTTACCCCAACACTCAGATCTGCTGAAAAGGCAACAGTTTTGTTTTCTATTGCTGGTTAAGAATAACATAT